TGTTGGAATCTATTAAATTTTGACAAAGTTATGGGCATTTAAAAAAAAAATTCTCGCTGTCAATTCGAATAATCGATTTTTGCCTGAAAACTAAATCGCGTTTAATTCGGCCGAAAAATTTTTCCGAGCCAAAAGAAAAAATACGCGTCTCATTATTTGGACCAACAAACAATGTACTTATTGAGTTTGGTCGAAATTAAAAATCATGCTCGTACCTGACCGGTTGTCTGGAAATGGAAAGCATCAGAAGAAAGTATTAAAAATGAATTATAAAAACTAAAATCGAAAAACGCTGATTAAATTACAGATTCCCCAAATTCTGAAACAGCCAAAGGAATGAGAATGAAAAATTCTTTTTAAAAAGCTTTAGAAAAACCTGCCACATCTGATTTGGCTTGTAAGCTGTTTAAACAACGATCTCGCCATTATGCTGATTGTTTCTTAAAAATACTTGGCATCCGCATTCGCATCCGCGTCCGCGGATGTTAGCTGTTAGATATTCGCGTCCGCATTCTCATCTGCGGATGTCTAAAATTCCACATTCGCAACACCCCTAATACATACATACATACATACATAGAGAGCAAGGCAAGGAGTTTTAGTTCGGATTGAAGTTCCACTCTACGGTGGTTAGGCTTTCGATGTCTTCTCCTTGTATATATAAAAAAAACATACAGAGCAAGTGAAATAAAAGCTTTTAAAATAGAGGCACTTTTAAACGTTTACAGAAAATGTAACAATTCCCCTCTGCAATGAAAAATTGTTCACGGAGAAAAAGGCTTAACCGACACTGCGGGCACAAAAAAATGTAAAGAGGGTACAATTAAGCACTTAAGCCAAAATTGATTTCGCTATAACTTTGTAATGGTAATTCGTAGGACTTCGAAATTTTGACAGCTGTTGCGTATGGTGGTAGGTAATCGATATGCGTCAAAAACAGAAAATCGAACAGGTTGTCGTTTACGCCCTTTTGGCGGTTAGGGCTCGATGTAATTAACTCACCATAATTTAATCTGACGCGCTCATGTGTTCTGAACATCGATTTTTTTTTACTATTCTAATCGACTACCCTACCCGCGCGGCCCTACAAATAGGCTTAAAGCTTAAACAGACGGCAGCGTTAATCCGGATTAACTCGGACTTGAGCCGGATCAACTGCAGTTAATTCCCGAGTTGATCCGGATCAACGCAGCCGTCTGTTTATGCCTTAAGACTCAAAAAATATCCCCCGTACTATTAGTATTAAATCATGATTCTTAATATCCTTGATATGTATTCCCTTGCTCTCAACCCTTTAAATTTGTTTTTTTCCACAGATGTCCCGCCTAAAAATGGAATATGAAAAGCAGCTGAATCGCAAGAATAAACGCCATTCAACTTTCGATTCAGCGCGCGATTTCGAACAGATAATTAGCGATCGCGACAATTTACGAGAACTCTGCAGGACCTTCCGGAGCGTCTTGGCAGAACTTGCTAAATGCGTTGTCAATTGTGAGGATGACATAAATAGCACATTAATGCAAGAGGTGCAGCGTCTGGTGGCACACAATCGTACCTTGGATGAGCAAACACCTGAGGTGGATATGAATATTTCCTTCTTGAATGCTTCACTGAGCTCAAACAAGCAGTCATGCTTCATACCAGATGTGCACAATTTGTTGGAGGTAGTGGAAGATCCTAGTCTGGTGGATTTCGTTAGCAACAGAAGTGGCGATTTAGTCGAAGAGTTCGATTTGCATGAATGTCTAGAGCGTTTAAATTCCGAGGCATTATGTCTGTTGCATTTATCGGAAGAGCTGCATAAACGTCAAAGGCGTCGATTATCCAGCTTGTCCAGCGGTCTGGAGAAAATAGATAGCTGCTGTGAGGAAGATAGCGTCGGTGATAAGTCACCAGCAATGGGGGAAAACATACACCGCTTTTTGCGTACTTTCTCGCTGAATGAACAACATTTACCAACATACAGAGAGCATATTAAACAGCAGCAGGGACATCTACTCAACTCATTGCCACCTGATTTGAACCAGTTACGTGCTGAGCGTTCGAATAATAATGATGATCTCTTCTCCACACCTGGCGGTAATGCCTCCGAACTAAATTTTCAGGTGCATGAATTGAAGAATCGTCTAGTAAAATCGGAAAATGATCGCGTCAAGCTGCAGGAAGAGCTGGAACACACAATCAAGAGGAATGCGGAATTAGGACAGGAGCTACAGGCGATGCGTGATCAATTGTCTCAATTAAATTCGCTCAATCACACCGACTATGCGGAGGGCTATGGTCACGGGTCGCTTAGGAGCCCCCAGCGAGCTTCCGGTTCTGATAAATCATCAACAAGCTTCACACAGTTGCAGGAGAAGGCACGCAATATACTGTCTTCGCCGCCGCAACAGCAGCCCAGTAATGATGCTACCGTGGTGCTGCTGCAAATGATTGAGGATTTTTGTCGCGAAGGCGAGAAGGTGGTCGAATGCGGAAAAAAGGATCGTGAGGATCTGCAATCGCAGGTGAGTAGAAGAAGGTTTTGTTGAAATGAAGACTACAATTTCAATCATGCAGTAATTATTATTCCACCGTTTTGTGTGAGTGAATATCAAGTGGTAGCCTTTTTAAAGAAAATTTATTATGAAATTTTAACGATGTAATAAAACTATGTTTGTGATCGTATGTTTGTGGGCGCATGCTATACTTACATCAACAAGCGAATGCATGTTATGTGAATTTAAGTAAATTGTAAAACTTAAATAAATATGTATGCATTTAATATTATGATTACAAAAATGTGCGATTGAATAAATATTTATACATTTGATTGCTCCCTAATGCACACTATGCAGATTGACGCGGCGGATAAACAATTAAAAGCCACACGTCACTTCCTCGAAGAGCAAGCTGCCGAACGGGAACAGGAGCGTGATGAGTTTCAGCGTGAGATCGAGTGCCTAAAAGTGCAGCTACGCGATAAAGAGAAGGAGCGCAGTACATTTGAAAATGCCTCCAAGGAGGTGAGTGGAATATGCAAGTATTCTGACGCTATGTTCTTTTGCGTTTGCTGATATGGTGGTTTGTGTGCTTCGTTTTCTTTCTGTTTAAAGTTTCTTTCGGTTCCTGCTATTGGATAAAAACTGACTATTACTACATACGTACATATGTGATTTTTCTTTTCAATACTTATGACTAAGTTAAGCTGTTTTACAAAACTCATCAATACAAAGCATCAGTATCCTTTTTTCTAAATCATAAATCACAGTAAATTCTTAATTCCCCAATCATAAAGAAATGCCAATTTGCTGTTTAGTTGCGCGAATTGGATAAGAGCATCTTTTGTCATTTAGAAATAAAAGAGACTGATGCGTTTTTATTGATGCATTTTTGAAAACAGCCTTAATGTTTCTTGTAACTTATTCGAAAATCTGTTTTGAGTTGACCTTTTTTTCGACAGTGTCAAATATACTACATTACTAATATTTCATTTCAATCCTCTATTTTTAGTACTATGAATGGGACTATGAATTTATTTTATAAAAAACATGGGTTTAACACTTGTTTATATATATTGTTTTTAACGAATTTGCTTAATTTGCGTTAACTACTTATTTTAACATTTTCTGTGTACAATTCTGATTGTTGCTTTTACTAATAATGTTTGTTAATAAATTAACTAAATACTATCATTTGCAAGTATTTGTCTAAATAGTAAATGAAGATATGGACTTTACACAATGTAAAGATGAAAATATGTATGCTGCACCTTTATTTTCTGTATTCCACTTAGTTATCTACATTTTTAAATTTTCTGGAACGGTACTTTTGAATTTATTATAGTTAAGAAGCTACGAAATATATTTGATGAAGCTCCATCATTTAGAATCATTTGAATATAAGTGTATAATGGTTTTAGAAAAAGGACTTATAAAGAATTATGAAGTAATATTTTTTATCGGTCAATCTATATATCGACACCTGAGTGGGAGATCGACCTATCTCGGCAGCCAATCGAAAATGACCTATCTCAGAAAAATTTTCGAGAACACCCTATTTCAGAATTTGGTTGAAGAACGCTCTATCTCAGAATTTGATTAAAAAACGCCGTATCTTAGAATTCAGCTGCCGATTCTAAAACGCTCTATCCTAGCACATTTTCAATATATTTTGTATTATATTTGAGATAGGGCATTTTTGAACCGAATTCTGAGATAAGGCGTTCCTCAACCAAATTCTGAGATAGAGTGTTTTTCAGTAAAGTTTTGAAATAGGGTAAAGCTTTCGGGGATAGGGCGTTTTCGAACTGGTTGCCGAGATAGGTCGATCTTCTACTCAGGTGTCGATATTGTAACCGAGTGTTAAAATAACATTAGATAGGTTAACGAAAAGCGATCAACAACACAAACGAGGTTAAGTCATAAGAGACCGGGTTAACTATTGTGAATGAGCCTGGGAAATTTTTATTTACGGCAAAATCTGTATATATATATACGTTCACCATCTTCAAAAGAGGCACATTTCAAAAATGAGATCAGAAAATAGTAATCATGAAGAAAAAAAAATTCAATTAATTGGAGGTTAGTTCAATGAATTGATTTATGCAAAACTACCAATTTTTGTTTAGTTATGCCCCTTTTTAAGATGCTGTGTGGTATGTACCAGGGACGTGAACGGTTCGAACTGTTTTTGCACTATTGGATCGGTTCGTCAAAGCGGTTTTTTTTGATCTTTGAACCGGGGTTTCGGTTCGGTTCAACGGTTCGGAAAACAAAAAAATAACGCGCAAGTTTAAGTGTCAAGTGCAACAACGTGCAAGGTTAAGGGTCAAGTGTCTGTCAAATGGGATGGGTTGCCTTTACATTTTATATTGTCACATGGTACACAACCATGGAAGGTATTACCATGTTTAACAAAAAGAAAAAAATGGGTACATTTATCTACTGAAAATTGGTTGAAACGAACCTTTAAACCCTTATAGAAAGTGGTTCTATTTTCGGTTGGGATCAAACATTTGTGGAAAATTTCGGTTCGGTTAATGGTTCAGTTAATTAATAGAAAAAAGTGGTTTTCCGGTTCAAAACCGGTTAACGGCCCTGATATGTACATATCGTCGTTTAAAGTGCAAAACCGCGTATCAACAAAATGCAAAACCGCGTAGGTGAAGTTGTATAAATTATTTTCTAACGAGTAAAAACACTCATATTTCAAAATGGTACTTTTTTTTTATAAAACAATCGCATTTCTGGCTAGTATATTTCAGGACGAATGGATAAGGATTGAGCCAAGAGCTTGTGTGAGCAAATCCAATTTTTGGCAGCCAATGTCAGTTACACGGTTTTGCAGAATGACGATACGCGGTTTTGTACTTTAAGCGACCATATAAATGAAACGATTTCGTTAAAACTACAGGTTTTAATTGGTTCTTGTTTATAAATTCATTTAAACTAATCACAGGTTTCATGGCGGATAGCCACAGGTCTGTTTGTTGTAGATTGAAATTGTAATCGATAATAATTGAGTTTAGCCCGTAATGAACTTAAAAGATATTTGGTGATTGGACTATGTCGCCAAAAGCTTTCATTTTTACTTGACACTGAATGCATGCCAAACACTTTAGGGTGGTTTTCCAGGGATGCTGTATCCATATCTGCGTTAATTTCTCTTCTCTCAACCATGGAGTCCCACTAGATTAATTTTTTTTTTCAAAACTAATCGTGGGTGCATTCCAAAACGTCAAAATACAACGCATCAGTCTCTTTTATTTCTAAATGTGCGAACTAGTCCTGACTCGACCTCAGCGACCTCTATCGGTAAAAATATTTATGTCGGTAATACATGTTATGAATTCAAATGAAATCGCACTGCAAATACTGTAGAGATATTAAGCTCCAGCGCCCTACACAGTGCTAGAAAAAATGTATAAAATCAGGGAAAGCACCCGAAACAAAACTTATTGTAGGTTGTAGGCAGCGTTGAGTACAACATAAAAATAGGTTTAAAGTCCCTGAACCCTCCATTTTTATTAAAAAAAAAAAAAACGTTATTTTCGTACCTGACGCATTCATCTATATCCTGAAACAGCATCCTTATAGTAACATCTCAAATTTGTAGGATATTTTTCTCGAGATTTTTACCGCGCAAAATTTGTTTAAAAAGATTCGTTAAATTTAGTGTCATAAAGTGCAAAGTCGGTAGGACTTGCCGTTAATTTTTGGTATTTTTTTTTTTGTAGACGGTATTAAAATTGTTTTCATACAAAGTATGTTCGACAACTTTTTAAAAGGGAAGCAAATGGGCAACAGTTTCCACATGCACTTTATTATACTAAATTTTAATGACCTACAAAACTGCAACCAATTTTCTTTTTAAGATTTTAACTAAAAAGTTTACAATTTTGGTGAAATATTGCAGAATTAATTTTTATAGTTTCTTGCATAAAGTCTGAAATTTGATTTTATATGGCTTTCGTTAGGAAAAGAGCTTTTCTTTCATAAAAAATAATAAACATTAAATGCCTAAAGACAAATAGCCAAACCTTGCTAAAATGTTGAGTCCTAATTTATATTTTGGTCACTGTATGTATCCCTCGATTCCAATCACGGTCATTCGGGTTAGAAAATAATAACTGTTTATGGCAGGGGCCGTAACGGTTATGCTTTTTATCAAAAAAGTGAACAAAGAATCGTTATTTTTTCACCAATATGTTAACTTTTATTTTTTCGGTCAAAAATAAAAGTTAACACTTGACTTTTGTTTTTTCGGTCAAATATAAAAGTTAAAATATGACTTTTGTTTTTTCGGTCAAAAATAAAAGTTAAAATTTGACTTTTATTGTTTCAGTCAAATATAAAAGTGTAAACTTGACTTTTACTTTTTCCGAAGATTACGTTCGAAAAGCATTTACGGAAATAGGCACCTATAAGGAGAAGCGCATTGAAGTTGATACGGACGTTAGGGATTACTGGGAGAGTAAAAAATGTATATATCCCCGACTAAGATATCTGGCATGTATTATACATCAAGTACCAGCGACACAAGTCAGTGTAGAACACGCGATCTCAGCACTAAGCATATTCTTAGCGATTTGCGATACAATTTGCCGGAGAAGAACTTGGCAGCGATATTAATTGTTAAAATGAATTCCGAATCATTCCTGTAAAGAGGTGAATAATTTAAAGCTTAAATTGAAGAAACTCAATATATTTGCAGAAGATAGAAAACTGCAGTTGAAAGGATGTGCATTTTTTATTAAAACATATTAGTGGTATTCACCAAATTGAGCAAGTGAGCAAAAGAGCAGATTAGCTCAAGCAATGCCAGTTGTCAACAGTCGTTGCTTGAGCTCATCTGCTCTTTTGCTAGAGTGCCAGGCTACTTGCTCAAGTTGGTGAACTACTACTACTATTGTATTGTGAATATGTAAACTGCTATGTTGAATGAAACAATAAAAGTCAGATTTAACTTTTATAACTGCCCGAAAAAATAAAAATAAATTTTTAACCTTTATTTTTTACCGAAAAAATTAAAGTCAGATTTTAACTTTTATATTTGACTGAAAAAATAAAAGTCAAGTTTTAACTTTCGTGCCCAGAATTTGAGAAACATCTGAGTCACTTAAATGCAAACACTTGGAAATTGAATTTTGGTTTCACAAATTTGATTTTAAGTATAAAAAGATTGAAAATACATCAACAGGCCATTCACTATTCCTTAAAAGCACCAAGTAAATGCAGGCAACATCTAAATACAAAACAGCTGATATGCACTTTGACACTTTATCCGTTTTTACCCGGTAAAAAAGTCCGGGCTGTTTCGGGCAGGAAGAAGCAGACACTTACGATCCAATGCGTTCCAATTTTCGCTGTCTAATACTCATTTCGTTTAGTACCGGAATGATTTCTTGGCAGTTTTGGGCACCCGCGGGATCCCGCGTTGCGTACGGGAAAGAACCTAGTATCAGCATAGCAGCTGATTTTATTTTTAACCGACTTCCAAAAAAGGAGGAGGTTATCAGTTCGTC